ATTATTATTATTATTATTATTATTATTATTATTATTATTATTATTATTATTATTATTATTATTATTATTATTGTTATTATTATTATCTATTATTATCTATTATTATTATATTATTATTATTATTATTATTATTATTATTATTATTATTATTATTATTATTATTATTATTATTATTATTATCATTATTATCATTATTATTATCATCATCATCATCATCATCATCATCATCATCATCACTACTACTACTACTACTACTACTACTATTATTACTATTATTATTATTATTATTATTATTATTTTTTAAATTCTACAAATTGTACATATGATATACTCGCATAAACGCGCTCCTATTACAATAATTCATACACATATGTGTACATACAGCCAATCTAATTTTATAGCTAATTTTTTTTCTCTTGGGGAACTTAACCAAATGTAGCGCGTATATTTTCTTTTCTTTTCTTTTCTTTTCTTTTCTTTTTCTTGCAACAAACAGACCAATGGTGTGTCATTATGTCGATTAAATGGATAAGAAGAAAGAAAAGATCCCAACCTTCTAAGCTATACAGGCTTTATATGTCTTATGTAGGTCGGATGATCTTTTGTCACATTGAATAAGTGTTTTTCTATAGTTATTAGCTGTTCTAGTTAGAGAAGAAAAAAATTATTAAATAATTTTGTTAGATAATTATTGATAAATATTTTATAAATGATTTGCAAAATATTTAGTGTCCATTTTAAGGAAGAAAAAAAAATTGGTTTTCTGTTGTGGCAATGTGAATCAATTATTTCTTTCTTTCGCCATTCAGAAAACAAAAGATAAGTTTTTAATTTTATTTGATTCACACATTATCGTAGAACGTAGAATTAACAGAGAAAAAAAGATTAACGGATCAAATATTTCGAATCACGAAGGAGATTAAAGAAAAAGAAGAAATAAGAAAGTCAGGTTCTTCAGCAATAGTTTTCACGCAAAAAAAAAAAAAAAAAAAAAAAAGAAGGAAAAAAAAGAAAGCTACATAAAAAAAAGATACAAAACTGAATAAAAGAAGAAAGATAAGAATACTGCTTCTGTTTCCTGCGTATCTACCTCTAAATAGATGAAATGAAACGATTCATATTTTTTTATATACACATCTCATAAACAATAAACATACGCTAAGAAAACCAAAAAAAGAGAAAGAAAGAGAGAAACCGGTGGATAAGAGAAAAAGGAAAAACGAGGTAATCGCGATTTTTCGAATTTTCACAATATTAAAAGTAACAATTAAATTAAAGATTAAGATTTATCTGATAAAAAGAAATAAGATAACATGTATTTAGAAGTCTTTAACAGAAGGAAAGAAAGAGAATCGGAATATTACTCGATTAAGCATGTGTTTTAAGAAAGAAAAGATTAGATACGTTGTTAAAAGAAATGTACGTTCCCGAGGTTTCCCGTAAAGGCCTTTCATATTAATCACAATTAAACAACGCCATGTGGAAGAAAAGTGCATTTATCATCGGAAAATTCATATAATTTTTGTTATTATTTGCAACACTTACACAATTATCATTAGTTAGTAAATCTTTGTTATGCTAGTTAAATTAAATTGTTTGAAAGTTTCATACATAATTATTCTAGTAATCTAATAATAAAATTAAATTAATTAAAAATTAATCTTTTTTTCATACCATTGTCAGAATTCGTTTCTTTTTAAAAGACAATCGATAAACAATTAAATTAATAAAAATTCTATTTGTTCTTTGTATTGATTAGATATCAGCATAATAGGACAAAAGTTACGTAGTGTTTCGTATAATGAAAGGTATAATGACCAAATATCATCAAACGTAATCGAAACCAAAAAAAGCGCATGACAATGCGATCATGTATCTCTTTGACCTTATCCTTCCATTTCTTATCGCGTGCCTTTACTGTACCAACCGTATATCGGGAAAAAAATGATGAGAATTCTTATGCAAAAAAGTCGGAAAGAAGAGATATAAGTTATTCCATAGAGGAAAATCGAATTGACACGAATCATATTTGTAATTTCAAGAAAAAAAAAAAAAAAAGGAAAGAAAAAACATAATGAAGAACTATCAAATTTCGAAAAAGTTTCTTACTTATCATCGCGTGCATAATCATGGAGAAATATGTGTTTTTAAGCACAAAAGTAGAATCACATGTAACATATGGCTGGTAAATTGAAATTTTTCATCATTGTCCATCCGCATGTAAATTATTCATACGATAAGAGACAAAATTAATAGAATTTCATTTTTGAAAAGAGGAAATTTTGTTATCATGTGTTCTTTTACTCGAAATATTATTTTTGTTGAATTTTTAAATGTTACAATTAGAATATAATACTTTGATAGGATATATAGAATATATATAAAATATATAATATATATGTATATTATATATTATATATATGTAATATATATGTAATATATAGAATATTATCAACATTCTTATTTATTCAATCAATATTTAAAATACTTAAAATTTCATTGACTTATAGTTCGTTTTCAACAGATAGACACGATGAACGAATCAATTTACTCTTAAACAAAACTCGTCCGTGCAACCGCATATACGTAAAACATGTACTTTTTAATAGCTTTGTACAGGTTTAAGGCTGCGTTCACAAGTGTTACTGGATGAAAGTGACGTCGGAAATGAGTGTAGCTTATTCGAAATCAATTTGCCGCTCAAGGTCTCGTCTCAAGATCTTATTTCCCCACTATTGATTTTATTGTTTCATATTTGCTCAACTTCTTATTTATTTTAAAAATAGAAAACAAAAATTAATAATTAATAAAGAAAGATAAAAATCTATTGAAAAAAAAAAATAAATAAATAAAGTGCTTTATGTATTGAATCGTATATGTATGAGAAAGAAGTATGAAAAATGGCTTTGAGCGGGAATAGATGTCGAACAAAGATAAAGCAATACAAATCAAAAAATTTTCTTACCAGTTGAAACTCGCTCATTTAAACTGTGTTTCCATTTTCGTGGACCGCAAATTTTTTTCCATTCGTGTTGTTTGTATCGATGTATAAATCCGTCGTATAAATCCGGCTCATTATAAAACACAATATCAAACAAAAAAACTTGTGTGTGAGTGTGCATTCGTGTACTGTGTATGTATACAAAAGAGAAAAAGAAAGAAGGGAAAAAAGTATGGAAGAGAGAGCGTTG